GTTCTTTTTTCTACAGACGCACAAGTCTCATTGTATTTATTTTTGCGTGTATTTGTCGTGCGTTTTTTTTCTTCATTTGTTGTTGTTGTTTTCTTCATTGTGTTTTTTTTTCTCTTCCTTTTCTCCCCTTCGCTGGTGCGCTTGCTCCTGTGGATGAGGGCGCGGCCGCTGTGACGTGGAGGGGGCGGTGTGAGACGCTGTCATGTTTCGCTTGGGCAGCCCCCGGGTTTCCCAGCGGCGCCGCCTTCTGTTGTAAAAAGAGAAGAAAAAGAAAAACAGTCGCGCCCGCCTAAATGTGACGATGTGGAACTCCCAGGGGGAACAGACGGTGCGTAGGCAAATAGCCGCTACCCCCTCCCCGGGCAATTGACCGCAGAAGACGGTGCCTTTTTATGTGACTCGTTGTTTCTTGTCAGTTGTTATTGTTGTTGTTGTTGTTGTTTTTTTTTTGCAGGTGAAGGAAGGGAGTTCCACACAACTGTGTTTTTTCGGCAGCAGCAATTGATTTGTTTGTTTTTCCTCTCTTTGGGCACACTCCTCGCCTGCACCTTGTTTTTCCCTCCCACCCCATTTCTTTTTGTTTTTCTTGCGCCATCTCGGCCACATTTTCCAAGTAATCTGCGCTGTTGTTTGTGTGTTGCGTGCTTTTTTTTTTCCTCTGAGTGACTCTTCTCCTTGGCCGCAGCCCAATAAAAACTCGTTATACACGCACGTACGTACACTAAGCACGAACAGATATGTTGCTATCTTTGCACTTCCGTGCAGAGAAGCATGCGGCTCCACGAGGGAGGAAGGGAAACGACGGGGGAGGGGGAGAGTGGGAGTGGGATAATGGAGACTCCGCACGCGGCAAGCGACAAGGTCCATAGATGCCGGTGAAGCAGCGATGGGAGAAGATGGAAAATAGAAAAACACATATATGCTTATATACATTTATATATCTGTATATAACAAAAAACTCTGTAGGAAGTAGAGGGGGAGGGGGAGGGGTGATGTGTTGGGTGGATGACAGGGGGGCTTATGCCCACGCAAAAGTGTAAAATGTCCAACGGGGTGGGAATAAACTGCAAGCGGAGAAGAAAGGAGTGGATGGGGGGGGGAGCGAGGCAAATTGAAAAGTGATATGTGAAGCATGGATTGCAATAATTCCCCAGTGAAGCCTTGAAATGAGGGGAAGGGAAACAAAGCCGAGAATTAAATAAAATGTAGGCGAAGACGTAAAGTAGGGGGAAAAAAAAATAAACAATAATAATAGTGCATATTTCCTTTGGTTTCCCTTTGCCTTCCCGCCAAGCATCCCTTTCCCTCTCCTGTAGGATGTCTCAGTTTCCTGAGAGAGTGCGTTTTACTCAATTTTCCTTCGCTGAGCAGAAGCTCTTTGCGTGTCATTCGCGCCTGTGTGTAGATGGCTATGTGCCTGTATGGGTTGAAGCACACACCTTGCACCTCTGAGGAGGAGTCAGGCGGCGTTGGGGAACAGAGGAGGTGGAATGTCAGGAGCACTTTGGTACAGCAAGTGCCGCATTGTTTTGCTTTTGTTATTGTTTTTTTTTTGCTTTTTGCTTTTTCCGCGGCACACTTACTTCTCTTTCCCTCTGCCTGTCCTGCCGTGTGTTTCTGTGTGGGCTTGCTGTGCATCTACAGGCGAGTCCTCCCCGCCGCATTTCCGCCGGCCCCAGTAAGTAAAAAAAGGATTAAACGAAAAAGTCTATCCTTTCACCTCCTCCTTCTTGACTCCGTTTGGTTGTTCCTGAGGAGCTTACGATGCGAGCGGCTGTGCACCGTGCCTCGTTCATGTAAGATGATTTCTTTGTTTCTTTGTGTTTTTCCCATGAGCTTTGAGGTGGACGCTTGACTGCCCCCCTCGTCGCTCATCGCCGCTGGGTTGCCACCACCAAATCGGCTCTAGGCCCGCTTCCTCACTCTGCAATCCTTTGCCCTCCAATGTTTTCCTTTCATTTCGTTCGGGGGAAAAGGGAACGAGGAGAAGGGAACCGCCGCGGCGGGGCACACGCACGCCGAGAGACAGAGACGTGTTTGGGGAGTCGGGGCGTCTGAGAAGAAGCGCAAAAACGACAGGCCTTTATTATTATTACTTACTACTACTACTACTACTATTCTTTCCAGAGCCCCCCGCACTCGGAGCGAGTCTGCGTGGGCGATGTTCTCCTCCGAGTTCGACGACAACCCCTTCGCGGAAGAGATCGAAGGCGAGGCACCGGTGGGTGAAGGCCGCGGAGGCGGTGCCGGCGCAGGGAAGCGCGAGCGCGACGTGGAGGACCTCGCGGAGGGTGAACCGCGGCGCAAGTTGGCTCGCCGGGACGCCGCTGCCGGCGCGGGCACGGCGCCCGAGGCGGAGTTTGCCGCGCCGTACATTGGGTACTCGCTGGAGGACGACGAGGCGGACGGAGAGAACGACGACACGGACGAGACGTACCTCTCGTTCCTCTGCCGCGTGGCGGAGACGGAGGCGGCGCTACGACAGTCCGCGCGCGTGCACCACTTTAGGATGTCGCTGGCGGAGCACGAAAAGGGGGCCCTGCGCGCAAGCATTGCCTCCCTGCAAAGCTCGTTGATGGGGGCTCGCGAGAGGCGCCAAAAGGCCTCGCAGGGCGCAACGGAGGCTGGCGCCGCCGAAAAAGACGCGGAGGCGCAAGGGCAGGCGAGCCCCTCAGACCTTGTCGCGTTGCTAAACGTCTGTGCCTGCGCCTCAAGGGCGAAGCGGCTCACCACCCACCTCCATTTACTGCAGCGACTAGAAAAATACCGAGACCACCGCGGCAAAGAGGGCCGCGCCACATCTGTGGAATCCGACAGTTGGATGCCAAAGTCGTCGCGCGCTGAACTCGAGGCGTCGTCGCGTCAACCCTGCCATGCGGAGATGCAACGGTTTGAAGACATACGTCGTGCACTGGAAAAGGTGCAGGATCACCTTGACGGCCCCATAGCTCCTGTTGTGATGGGGCTGCAGCATGAACTACAACGCCTGTGCACAAGGAGCGACGCTCTGCATGAGGCAAAGACTTCTCTTCTGTCTCATCTCAGGGCAACAATGCTGCGGTGGAACGAGCATGCTTTGTGGGGAACCGAGCGTGCACTGCTCGTCGCCGATGAACAGATGCGGAGTCATTTGTCCGCGTCGTCTCCCTCAGTGTCAGAGCAGCAACTTATCCGTCAGCAGCAGCAACTACAGAAGCGACTTCACCGCACAGAAGTGGCCCTTGCGACGCTGCTAGCCGCTGCCACCGGCACACAATTGAAATCAGTAACGCCTGCCGTCCTACAGGCCACGCTTCGTCGCCAACAGGAGTTAGAAAATCTGCGGGATCGGTTGAACCGTGAGATTTTGTACCTGCGGAAGTCGCTGAGAGACAAGTTGGCCACAACGCCTCTCCTTGTGTGCGATCCGGGCATCGCTTCACACGCAAAGTCGGCCATGGAGGATGGGAAAACGATCCTGCTGCAGCACTGTTGTGTTGCCATTGCCCAACGCTTGGCCGAGGTGACCCACCAAATCATCTCGGAAGTAGTGAAAGGCTCTACGGCGTGCGCAGCTTCCGCAGAGCAGGACGAACGTCATTTGTTGTATCAAGCAAAGTCAGGAACACTGCATGCCTCTATTGTGGCCTTTCTGGCAGAGAACGCTCGGCTGCAGCAGGAGATTAAAGATGCGGCGTTAATAAAACTTGTGGCGGCCCCTGGCAGTACGGCCGTCATGCTTCTCGCAGAACGGCTTCAAAGTATGCTGCATTGCAAGCGACCTGTGGAACAAGAGGATGAGACCAATAGCAATGGGAAGAAACTTGACAATGAAGGACAGAGGGAATGCGTGGAGGAGCAGGAGGTTCTTGTTAATATTTTCACGGAGAGCACCGCGGGCCTTCTGAAGGTGGTGAATGCGCAGCTGCAGAGTGTCAACACTCTTTTCAAGGGTGAAGAACATCTTTTTAGGGAAGCGGCATTTCTGCTGCGAATGACTGTTGCAGCCGATCGTCTCCTGCTTGGAAATGTGGGCGTGCCCCTCTCTGCCAGCTTCACTGATGATCTTGCAAAGGAAATGGACGAGGCCCATCTCTGTTTTAAGCCGCCGCAGAACAGTCTGCAGCAGTTGCCTTTACTGGCCACTATTCGTGAGAAGTTCCAGGCCCTTTCAAGCCGACATGCCGCGCATCTCTTGGCGCAGTACAGCGAGGCAGAGAAGACCCGGAAGGAGCTGCAGGAAGACCTGGAGTGGTGCAGGAAGCAGTGTCCAAACAGTGCGGCAACGAGTATTCGCGAAGCCCAGAAGGAGCTGCAGAGCCTGCAAACCGCCTTAGCAGCGGCTGCGGCCCGTGAGAAGGAAGTGGCGTCACTTGAAGTGGAGCTGGTGAAGAGCCGGGAGCAACTTGCTCAGCTCCGCCATGAGAGGCTGGCCGTCGAAAAGGAGCTCTCCATGGCGGAGGAGCAGTGGCGACGGGCCCAGGAGGTGGAGGCGGAGGCGACGCTCCATTCTGTGCCACCGTCGCCAGAAGCCGCGGAGGGCGGGGACGGCATCAATGACATTGAGGGCGTTAACGATGAAGAGGGGAATGAGGCGGGTGACGTTGTACGCAACACGGAGTGCCCCGCAGAGGGGGAAGAGGTGAACGTGCAGCACGGAGGCAGCGATGCGGGAACGGCAACAGGAGAAATAGGATGAGCGTCATGGGGTTCTATTGCCGTTTTTTTTTCCCCACTTCGCTTATGCTCAGTGGGTACGTGCGTGTGCATGTTCCTTTCTGGTTCATCACCCCTATTCCAAGAGTTGGCTTCTGCTGCGCCGCTTCCCTACAGGTTATATTACATGTCTTTTTTTTTTCCTGCTCTCCCTCTTGTTCTCTTTGTCCTTCCCGTGAGGCATGGCCAGTAACGACGCCGCTGGAGCTGCACCTGCGGCTGAGCTTCTTGAAGCTTTCCGGGCCTTTGACACGCAGAACGTCGGTTGGCTCCCGATGTCAACCGTGAGGGCGCTCCTCGACAAATTCGGGGACTTCTCCACGGCGGAGATGGAGGAGTTTGCTTCCGAGGCGGAGCAGGGGGGAAGGATGTACTATGAGCATTTTGTGGCGGAGGTCGTGTTTGCGGATGTCAGCTGAGGGGCTGGCGTCGACGCAGGCGATGTGCGGTGCACACACGCATACGCGCCCTTTCCCTCCTCTCTTTTATCGCCCCTCGGTGCAGTGGCTTCCTTTAGTCATGATGCTGGATTCAAAAGAAAACAAAAAAAAAGTTTTATTAGGTTTGGAATGTGTCATGCGTTTGAGTAGATTGGCTTTCAACGAGTGAGCTCTTTCTTTTTTTTTTATCAGTGGCCTTCTGCGCTTTTCGACCTTCTCTTCCACACTGGGGATGCAGAGCGGCGCATGTATATATATTCTTCTTCTTTCCCCCTCTCACTTGTCCTCGGTGAAAACGTAGAGGGAGAAGCAGAACGACAGTCTGGAGGTCATAGCAACAGTCGGAAGAAAAGCGGCTTTGTGTGGGATTGGCGATTGGAAGTGGAAAAGGCGTGGCTTCTCATCCTTGACTTCCACTCCTGTTGCTCAGGCTCATCAACGGGTCGAGTTGTGTACCCTGTCGCACACCGAAGCCCGCGTCTGTCCCGGACGAGAGTGGGATTTCATCGGCCACGAAAGGCGTTGCTCGCTTAGAATCCAATTCGGGGTGGGGGGGGGGGCAGGGCGCCACGCATGGCTCTCTCCGCCACCCCGCACGTCTGCACGCTGCTGTGGCCTTTTCTTGAGGAGCAGGAGGGAACCGCGCCGGAGGGAAATTGGTTGATCGGGTGGAATCCTCATGGCCTTTTGATTGTAGTCGTCACGATTGTGGAGGGCGATGAGTTTCAGGATGCCCAGCGAGCCATTGACCGGATTCGCGGACAAAGGGAAAACGAAAAGGTAGAGGCTCGAAGGTCGCAGCAGAAGGATGCCCTCGATGCGTACACATTGTTAGTGCTTGGTCGGGTGCGTGGCTCACTCCCACCGTCGCAGGCCTTGAGCGGTGAAGCCAGGGACTCCTTGGAGAAGTATGTGCGCCTCCAACGGCAGCGTAGCGACATATGGATCGAACTCAACAAGGGGCCGGTGCTTGACCGGGTGTGGTGTTGTGGGTATAGTGTACAGCCATGCCACCTGCACGTCTTGCGAACCAGTACGTGGGGAAAATATGCCACGTCACCGACGGCGTTTACTGCCAACGCACGGTTTGGCTGCAACGGCATCATGGAGCTCCTGCAAGGCCTGGAACCCCACTGTATTCCGGGCATGCACTCCACCCTGGAAGGCGTGCTACTGCCACCACACATGGTGCCCTTGGCAGGCCCTAGTGTGCTGAGGCCGCTGCAAGTGGACTCCAACAACATGTCAATCGGCCGGATTAGGCGTGTTACGAGGAGCACTGGTGACAGCCACGCCTCCTTGGATGATCTTCAAAACAGCGGCAACGGCCTCCCACGGAAGGAGGGGGATAAAACGGAGTCGGAGAATATTGAATCGGTGCCGGAGGCGCCGGTAAAATTTTTACCACCACGACTGGATTTTCCTACCACTGCCGACTTTGCAGAGGTGAGTCTTCTTTTGCGTGCCAACAACTGCGGTCGAGTGATGCGGAAATGCCTCGAATCCTGTAGCAGAAAGAATCAAGGCAGCGGCGGGAATGAGGGTGTTAAAAGTGACGATAACTATTCGCACAATGGCAACAAAAAGAAGACGTGTGGAAAGAAGGTATTAGAGGAGCAGAGTTTCTGGGAGCGGCATCTTCACGCGTATGTTGGTGTGTTGTTATCAGCGCTGCTTATTTTTGTTCCAGGCCTTACAGTCCTGGGCAAAATCTCATGCACCGCTGCCCTGATGGAGTTTCGTCTCCGTGAAGTTATTCACTGGCTTGCATTGTTGCAGGGCCGCACACGCATCTGTGGTCTGCATCCGGTGATGCCGCACATGATGCACGAGGATCCTGCCTTTAAGCGTTTTTGCGCCGTCAACTTTCTCATTCGCTTCCTCGTCGATGGAGTTTTGGGAACATTGGGGAGCCTTCTGTTAGCTCTTGGGGGGACGTCACTGATCGCCAAGTCCGGAAGCTTCTGCGGGCTCTTTTTGTACGACGTGCACATGGGGTATATGGAGTGGTTTGAGGGATGGCCTGCGGGGCTGAAAATGAATGAGGATCTGAATATGACGCTCTGCTTTTTTGCCAAGTGGGTGCTGCAAACAAGTTGGGACATTGTGGTAAACTTTAACTGGGTGGAGCTTGTCTACAAATTGCTTGTGTACATCGCCCCCTTCGGCGCCAGCTGTGCGTTCGCCCTCATTGCCGACGTCAGCGTGCTGGTCTCACTGCACATACAGCTCCTCTTCCACGCCGTCTCCGCCCCGTACCGCGTCCTGCGGTCGACCATGAGTAGTCTGTTTCTGCAGCTGCGTGGGAAAAAGTACAACCCGCTGCGACGCCGCACAGACACGTATGACTTTGAGGTGGACCAGATGCTCATGGGGACGCTCTTGTTTACGGTGACGGTTTTCCTCTTTCCAACCCTGGCTGTGTATTACCTCTACTTTGCATTGGCCCGCAGCTTCATCTGGGTTGTGCAAGAGGGACTTGTGTCCGCGGCACTCGTCACGATGTACCTCCCGGTGTATCCTGTGATTTATTGGGCGATGAACCGACGGCGCTGGCCAGGCGGCTTCGTGCTCACGAAACCCAAAGTTACACGCGTGCGGCATCTGACAAATGCGTCCAATTCATCCCCGCGCAAGTCGGTAACAGTGGAGGCCACTGCCGTTTCAAAACCGCTGGGCCTCTACGGTTTCTTGGTAGACTTTCTACTGGTGCTTAAGATTGTGTCGAGGCTGCGCCCCTTCCGTATTTTGACCGTCATCTACCAGGCAGAAGTTTGGAGAGGCACCAACCCGGTGGAACGCCTCATTCCGCACCTCCGCATGGACTGCATGCATGCTGGCTTCTCTGTGCAACCGGCGTCCCAGGCAGGAGCAGCAGCAGCAACAACAACTGTTTCCCCAACCAACACTGTTCCTTCTGCCGCTGCTGCCGCTGCTGCCGCCACACTTGCGTCCTCCACTGTGGTTTCTTCGAGCTTGGAAGAGCGAGAGACTCTCGCCAGAGCCGCCGTTTTGCCACGCCATTAACAGTCCTCTGCTTCTGGGGGGAGGAAAGGCGTGCAAAGTTTACTGTGCCGCTGTGACGCCACAGCACCGCACTGCCGTGTGGACTGAAATTGATTAACTGACCACTGTGTTATAACTCGACTCTGATACGCGTTCGGTGTGCTCTGCTGAGTCTGGCTTCCTCTCTCTGCAACTTCCCCCTTCTCCATTTCCCTCTTTGCAGGCAAACCCCCTAAAATATATATATATATATAGTCGAACGCGTCAATTAACGCAGAAGAAAACATCTAAGAAGAAAGGGGTCTCGAAGCCATCACGTGTTGTAGGCGTCTTTCGCAGCGAAGTAAGTTGGGAAGAAGGCAATACGCTCGGCACGCAGCAACTGGGGTCGGAGGGTTAGGAGCAGCCACGCACAGGCGGAGGAAGGGGGATTTCACCCCATTCCCCACCCCCAGTGAGGGAGCTCTTACTGCGGGAAGCGGGCAAACAACGACAGGAAGTCACGCGCCGTACTCGGTGAGGCCCTGAAACGCGAAGTTCCCTCCCCCTCCCCCCTTGCCTCAAAAAAGAAAAAACGATAAAGAGCAAGTCTACGCAGAAGAAAAAAGCGCGTGAGGGAGTCTATTGCTTTTTGCGAAGCGAGAACACCTGCAAGTAGTTTTTCCCTTCCTTTCTGCTCTTAGTTCGCCACTGCCGTGTGGCCGGGGTTTCTTTCACTCTCTCTGCGCGTGTGTGTGTGTGTGTGTGTGTTTGCTCTGCG